ATGGTTTGAATTTCCAAAGATAAACCTTTTTGTGTGTTTGTGTGTGTGTCCCCTGTGGGGCCTGAACTCTGGGCCTGGGTGTTGTCTCTGAGCTTCTTTTGCTCAAGACTAGAGCTCTATCATTTGAACCACAGCGCCATTTCCAGCGTATGTGGTGCCGAGGAATCGAACCCAGAGCCACATGCATGCTAGGCAACCACTCGGCCACTGAACCACCTTCCCTGCCACTCAAAGATAAATCTTGAATTCGGTATTATTTGAGGAAAGGGATGAGAAAAGTCCCCAGAGTTAAAAAGTCTGCTTTGATCACTGACCAAACACAAGTTAAGAGACCACCTGTAGCCTTTTCCCTAAGTATAAAGTCTGAGAAGGGCAAGAACTTGTGATTATTTCAATATTTCACTTTTTCTCCCTTTCCTTCTTCCCCAGGCTGAAGGGCCCAGAGGACTCAGGGCTAATTCTCCTCAGTGATACTAGAAACAGAGAAGGGAGTGGAACACAGCAATGGACAGCCTTTTCTAGAAGCATTCAGCTCTACAAACTAATTTTTATCTTGTTCTCGAGTAATCCCTGCAGGTGGCGCTCTGCAAGGGCCGGAAGCCACTAACAGATCTTCAGAAAAACGGGATGTTAACAAACCCACCCCAAGCCGAAGAGCAACAGCGTCACCGCAAGTTCCACAGCCTGCGGAGACTTGCAAAAATCAGAGCCCTCAGCTGCCACAGAATGACTCTCACTTTTCATTGGCTGATCCTCCCGGAGTCGAGCTCTTGGTTCATTTTCATTGGTCATCGCAGCTGTCACGTCCCTTCGCCACACCCACCTTCGGGTCGAGGCCCAATCAGCTCTGAGGTGGAATGATATACGGAGATTAGGGACGGAAGTTCACTCTCCCCAGCACAGTAGGGGGGAGAAGGAGGGAGGAGGGCTGCCCCGCCTTCCAGCACGAGGCCCCGCCCCTAAAGCCCGGCCCGGCCCCGCCCCTCCCGCCCGAGAGGGCGGGGACCAGGCGGCGGGCGCTGCCGCAGGAATATGCTGGAAGGCTGCGGGCTGGCGCCCCGGAGGTGCTGAAGGGACAGTTCCCGCCGGCGAACTTGCCCCGCAGAGAGCGGGTGTGGCGGCTCGGCCCCGGGAACGGGCGAGCCCCGGGAGCGATGGAGACCATCTGGATCTACCAGTTCCGCCTCATTGTGATCGGGGACTCCACGGTGGGCAAGTCGTGTCTGCTGCACCGCTTCACCCAGGGCCGCTTCCCGGGGCTGCGCTCCCCGGCCTGCGACCCCACGGTCGGCGTGGACTTCTTCTCCCGCCTGCTGGAGATCGAGCCGGGCAAGAGGATCAAGCTGCAGCTGTGGGACACGGCGGGACAGGAGCGGTTCAGGTAGGAGTCACCCCCACCCCCGGGCGGGGGCCTGGTGGGGGGAGGCCTGGGGAGGGGGGGTGTCGCCTCCCCTCCCCCCCCCCGCCCTTCCCTCCCCAAAGTGCGCTCGCTCCATTTTCCCTTCCCCTTTCGCCCCTCCTCTTCCAGGGACGACTTCCTCCTCCGCAATTTCTCACTTCTCTCTTTGGCGCCCATTTTCTGCGCCCCCCCCCCCCCGGTTTGGTCTCTTGCTTGCCCACCCGGGGTCCCCTCGACCTCCTCCCTCTTTGGCTCACTTCTTTCTGCCCCCGGCTTTGTGTTGGTTTGGTTTGGTGTTGGTTTGGTTTGGTGTGCGTTTGTTGGATTTTTTTTTTTTCCTTTTGGTGTCTGCCCTGGGGCTTGAACTCGCGGCCTGGGCGCTGTCCCTGAGCTGTTTTTTTTTTTTTTTTTCTTTTTTGCTCGAGGCTAATGCTCTACCACTTGGAGCCGCAGCTCGGCTTCCGGCTTTCTGCTGATTGCATTGGAGATGGAGAGAGTCTCTCGGACTTTTCTGCCCAGGATGGGCTTCCAACCTCCAGCCTCAGATCTCAAACCTCCTGACTAATAAGGATGTACAGGCGTGGAGAGGCCTCTGCCCTTATCTTCCACCGCTCTCTTCCTCCCCTAAACTCTCCTGCACTCACCCTCCTCGCATGCCGCCTTCCTTCTTTCCGTCCTCCCCAGCGCTTCTTCTCCAGAGACCCCCCCCACCTCTGTGTGGCCGGGAGAGCCCCAGGTCGGGTCCCTGCTGGAGCTCACTAAGCAGGGTTCACAGGCTGAGGTGATGACCGAACCCCTCCCAACCCCCCGTGTGGAGCCTGACCCCTGACAGTGGATGCTGCAGGACAGCTAAATACAATATCAGGACATGCACACCGCTGAGGTGTGTGTGCTGCTGTGCGTGCTGCATGGATGGAGTAATCTTTTCCAGTGTGTCAGCATGGGGGCTTTGTTGGAAAAAACAATTTCAGGAACTTTTCTTTTTCTTCTCTTTTTTTTTTCTTTTCTTTTTTTCCCCCATCGGTTGTGGGGCTTGAACTCTGGGCCTGGGCACTGCCCTTGAGCTCTTCAGCTCAAGGCTAGTGCTCTACCACTTGAGCCGCAGTGCCACTTCCGGTTTTTTGGTGATCTATTGGAGATAAGAGTCCCATGGACTTTCCTGCCTGGGCTGGCTTTGAACTGCGATCCTTAGATCTCAGCCTCCTGAGTAGCTAGGATTACAGGCGTGAGCCACAGGCACCCGGCCAGGAACTTTTACTTTATGTTGCTTAACATTCTGGTGTGAGAACAGACCAGAAAACACACTTCTCACTAGAAAAAGAAGCCAGGTAAATGAGTTTCATTTTCAGTGTTCACTGGGGAAACTGAATGTCACAAAGACAACTCGTGATTTGTAAATTAAAAAAAAAAAAAAAGTAAGGGACATAGTATGAATTTCCTGAATATTTCACAATATTTTGTTTCCCCCAAATCCGCTTGTGCGGCAGAACTCAATTAAGAGAGCCCTTTGCATTCTGCAGTCAGTTCTCTGCTTGTGAAATACAGTACTCTGGGAGTGGACTTCCCAGACCTGCTTCCCCTCACCCCAGGCAGCCTCTATTCTGAATGAGATCAGCCTACATCTGAGGATGGCCCACGTTCAAAGTTTTGGCTTGCATTCCCAGCTCCGACACTGATTCATGGAGATATGCAGGGAACTGCTTAGCTTGCTTGTACATTCATTTTCTTACTAATGAAGTTGGAAAGTTGGCCAGGCCAGTCTTCAGAGAAGTGTTAAAGGTTATTGACTTGATTTATACAAATCAAATACAAATTCTGTCAAGGATTTTTCCCCTTCTTAATAAACCTTCTTTTTCTCTTTTTTTTTTTGCTGGGCCTGGGGCTTCAACTCTGGGCCTATGCGCTGTCCTTGAGCTTCTTTTTGCTCAAGGCTAGCGGTTGACCACTTGAGCCACTGTGCCATTTCTAGCGTTTTCTGAGTAGTTTATTGGAGATAAGAGTCTCACAAACCTTCCTACTAGAGCTGGCAATGAAACACAATCAGATCTCAGCCTCTAGAGCAGCTACTCAGCTATTGTAAGACCCTTTATCTCCACAAAACTATTTAAAAAAAAAAAAGCAGGAAATAGGCCTGCGGCTTAAATAGTAGAGTGCTAGCCTTGAGCCAAAGAAGCCTAGGTCCTGGGTTCAAGCCCCAGGACTGGCACGAAAAAATCTATTTTGAATCATAGATATCTTTGCACAGTTTTTTTTTTTTTTCATAGCAAAGCTCTTGAAGATTCTTTACTACTATTAGGAAAAATATCATATCATGAAGCATTTGTGGGAAATATTTTCTTTGGAGGTTTATTCATGATTATACATAAGTTAGCAAAAGGGACATACATTATTTATTCCTTTGTGTGCTGGTACTGGGCCTTGAACTCTTGCTTAGCTTTTTCCATTAAGGCTGGCACTCTAATATTTGAGTCACAGCTCCATTTCTGGCCTTTTGCTGGTTATTTAAAGATAAGAGTCTCTTGGACTTTTATGCTTGGGCTAGTTTTTTGTTTTTGGAGGTTTTTTGGTTGGTCATGGGGTTTGAACTCTGGGCCCTTGCTGTCCTTCAGCTCTTCAGCTCAAGGTGGAGTGCTCTACCACTTGAGCTACATTGCCACTTCTGGTTTTCTGGTGGTTAATTGGAGATAAGAGTCTCACAGACTTTCCTGCCTAGGCTGGCTTTGAACAGCGATCCTCAAATCTCAGCCTCCTGAGTAGCTAGGATTACAGGCATGAGTCATCGGCACCCAGCTTGGGCTAGTTTTGAACCTCCATCCTCAAATGTCAGCCTAGAAGTGCAAGCATGAGCCACCCCTACTTTAGACAACCTGGGGATAGCTCGATGCCATAAACAAAGGGAACAATAAAATAGCAAATAATAGTGATCACAATTAGTATCCATTTTCAGTGTTTAATATACATGACAACTACTTGCATAGCATGAAAGAAGCAAAATCAGCCAGGTATGGTGGCTCATGCCTCTAATCCCAGCTTTGGGAGAGTGAGACAGGAGGACCAAAAGTTCAAGCCTGCCCAGGTTTTACAAGACTCAAAAAAAAATAACAAAGGTGCCAGGTGCTAATGGCTCAGACCTATAATCCTAGCTACTCAGGACACTGACATCTGAGGATAGCAGTTTGAAGCCAGCCTGGCCAAGAAAGTCCATGAGACTCTTATCTTCAATTAATCACCAGAAAACCAGAAGTATTGCTGTAGCTCAAAGTGGTAGAGCACTAACTTTGTGCAGAAAGGCTCAGGGACAGAGCTTAGGCCCCGAGTTTTTAAAAAAAGGTAACAAAATTACATTTTAGAATGGAAAAATGTTAAATTTCCATGTTAAAGAAACACATGCTTGGGCTGGGAAGGTGGCTTAGTGGTAGAGTGCTTGCCTTTTATGCATGAGGCCCTAGGTTCCATTCCTCAGTACCACATAAGCAGAAAAAGCCAGAAGTGGCGCTATGGCTCAAGTGGTAGAGTGCTAGCCTTGAGCTGAAGAGCTGAAGGACAGCGTCCAGGCCCAGAGTTCAGGCCCCACAACCCAAAAAAAGAAGAAAGGAAGAAAGAAAGGAAGGAAGAAAGAAAGAAGGAAGGAAGGAAGGAAAGAAGGAAGGAAGAAAGAAAGGAAGGAAGGAAGAAAGAAAGAGAGAAAGAAAGAAAGAAGAAACTAAACCCACCCAGGCTTGGCCAGCCCATGCCTATAACCCTAGCTACTCCAGAAGCAAAATTGGGAGGATTGTAGTTTAAAGCCAATAGGACAAAGGTAGGATGCAATCAATAGCCAAGCAGAGTAGGTCTCATCTACCATCCCAGCCACAGTGCAAGCATAAATAGGAGGAACACAATCTAGGTCAGCCTGGGAAAAGTCTCAATGCCAAAAACTACCAAGGAAATGAACACTTTGTTGTTGTTGTTATTGTTTTGCAAGTATTGGGGCTTGAACTCAGGGCCTGAGTTTTGTCTCTGAGCCTCTCTGTGCCCAAGGCTAGCACTCTACCATTTGAACCACAGCGACACATCTGCCTTTTTCTGTTTATGTGGTACTGAGTAATTGAACCCAGAGCTTCACGCATGCTAGGCAAGCACTCTTCCACAAGGCCGCATTCCCAACCCCAGAAAAGGGTTTGTTTGTTTTTTTTTGGTCAGTCGTGGGGCTTGAACTCTGGGCTTGGGCACTGTCCCTGCGCTCTTCAGCTCCAGGCAAGCGCTCTGCTGCTTGAGCCACAGCACCACTTCCTGTTTTCTAGTGGTTTTTATTGGAGATAAGAGTCTCACGGACTTTCCTGCCCCGGCTGGCTTTGAACCACGATCCTTAGATCTCAGCCTCCTGAGTAGCTAGGATTACAAGCGTGAGCCACCAGCGCTTGGCAGAAAAGGGTTTCTTGATCCAGTCCTTTTGGAAATGCTGGATCATTGCTGGATTTCTTGAGTTTCTCCCCATTCCCCACGCACATGACAAACAAGTGCTGTACCCTTCTTAGAGCTTTTGCTATGCTAACACACAGTATAAAACTCCCAGATACAGTGTGGCCCAACCCAGACTCCTTTTGCAGAGAACATTTTGAAGTACTGCTGTTCTACAAAATGCACTTTGTCATCAGTGAGCATCTCTGTTCCACTACACCCTCGCTTCCTTGGTGCTCTGCTTTACCAGGGCCTACAGGCATGGGGCGAAGAAAGCATGGACTGAAGCTCTGAAACCTGAGCCCAAAGTCAGTATTTTCTAGGAAAATCTAGATAAGGCCATGGGCTGGCGGAGTTGGGCACGAGTGTGTGGGTATGTGAGGTGCTGGGGGTGTGAGCCTTGTTACTCCAGTTCTACGCAGGGCCTGCTCCACATTGGAGACTATATCTGAGACTTAGGCTTGGTGATGAATTTCCAGCCTGGTGAACTGGAAATAGCTAGGGAGCAGTGAGCATTCAGCAGTGAGCATTCAGATTGCACAGTCATTGGATGATGATGGCCAGGCATTTGGGGCCCTATCCAAGCTATAATCTTTTCCACAAACGTAGTATCCTTTGCCAAAGAGCGCATTGTTATTCTGGAGTCGATCCTGTAATGGTGTAATGGAAGCCTCCCTGGGCTACGTGGAACATCCTGGTCTGCTCTAGACACTTTAGGCCAGTGCCATTAGATCTGATGGCCCAAGTGGCAAAGTTGCTTGCATTATAGCTTAGATTAGCCCAAGATGTACTCTTGCTTTCAGCCCTATTAAAGCTGGGAGCCTTTTAGGTCTCCTGCTTAATGGATCGTAGAAGCACAGCATACTATACAAGTTCCCTCTAAAGTTCGGAAAGATCCACCAAGAATTACGCATCTTTCTTCTTGGTGGGTGTGGGGGGAGGAGCATGATACTATGACTCATCTTTGGTTTCATCAGCCTGCTCCCAATTAGAAGAAACTTGCCAGAGATGGTTTATTCTCATGGCATAAGTCTAATGTTGATGGATTTCTAAATATTTAATTCACTTACTGTTTTCTATAACTGATTAGCTTTTAGCCACTCAGTGGCCTTGGTGTAAATGACTACATTACTAATAGTTCTGGACAGCTTTTCTTTTTGGAGTGTTGTTATCTCTTTCTTTCACATTTTTTTGCGCTCTGTCATTCCTCTTCTTTCCCCATTGGCTTTGTATATGAGTAAACAAGTCAGCCACATATGGGATCATTACAATGCATTGAAGGGGAAAGAGTAATAGAGGGGGTAAATATGATCAAAGTATATTATATGGAAATATCACTCTCCCTCCCTCCCCCCCCCCCAAGAACCACTGTACAATTAATATGGGCTAATAAAAAAATGCAGGGAAAAGATCCACCAGTAGATGGCAGTGTGCCCCTTTTGTGAAGATTCATTATCCAAGCTACACAAGAGATGTCCTGAGTGTTCATAACTGCTAGACACTTGAAAACTACTGGGTAGGGCTGGGTGGTGGTACATACTTGTAATCCCACCTACACAGGAGGAGCAAGTAAGAGGATCGAGCCCCAAGGCCAGCCTGAGCAAAAGTATGAGACCCTGTCTGAAAAATAAAGTGAAAGGGGCTAGGAAGGTGGCTCAAATAGAGTGGCCATGATTTCAAACACCTGTACCCTTGTCTAATCTTCCAGAATGCCTATTTTAACCACAGTGGTATAATTATTCCTTCAGATATATATGGGTAATGGGGCTTGAACTCAGGGCCTGGGCATTGTCCCTAAGCTTCTGTTGCTCAAGGCTAGCACTCTACTACTTTGAGCCACAGCTCCATTTCCAGTGTTTTAGGTGGATAATTAGAAATAAGTCTCATGGCCTTTCCTGCCCAAACTGGCTTGGAACTGCAATCCAGCTAAGACTCTGCACAAATGGCTTATACATTGGTGCTGGTGCTCCATTATTTGAAGGAGGGCAAAATAACATGTCCTTTACAACCTTTTTTATCTTTATTTTTCAGATCAATAACTCGGTCTTACTACCGCAACTCAGTTGGGGGATTTTTAGTATTCGACATTACTAATCGGCGCTCTTTTGAACATGTGAAAGATTGGTTGGAAGAAGCAAAATTGTATGTACAGCCATTTCAAATTGTATTTCTCCTGGTGGGACATAAATGTGACTTAGCTTCACAGCGTCAAGTTACAAGAGAGGAGGCAGAAAAACTGTCCGCGGACTGTGGAATGAAGTACATTGAAACGTCAGCTAAGGATGCTACAAATGTTGAGGAATCCTTCACTCTCCTGACCAGAGACATCTATGAACTTGTTAAAAAGGGAGAGATTTGTATTCAGGATGGCTGGGAAGGGGTAAGAAGTGGTTTTGTTCCAAATACTGTGCATTCTTCAGAAGAGGCGGTAAAGCCCAGGAAAGAGTGTTTCTGTTGACTTCAGCCATGCCAAAGAACTGAGTGTAGATGGGTATCATCACAGTGTGAATTCCAACATTTACCACAGAATGACACAGTGAAAGCATCTAAGAAGTGATAAGCCTGCCTGCAATGATGCTGTGTGTGAGTGGTTAGCTTCACGGCACTCTGCTTATTTGTTACCCTACTGGATAGGGTCATTTGTGAAATTACCACGCAAAGCAGACAACATTTTCTTGAAACCCAAATGTCTATGTAATTACCTCCATTCTCACTTTGCTAGCATGTAGCAGACCTTAGTGTCCAGACACGTCGATATTACGCACTTTTCTTGACAGTTATTACTCACTTTTCTTGACAGTTCTAAATGGGTTTTTGTACACATATAGTCTGATTAAAAACATTTTTATCAGGAGTTAACATTTTCTTGAATTACTTATTACTCTATAGTCAAGTGCATTTAGAAGCAGTACACACGTCACTTGCAAAGTAAACAATCTCAGAATTATTAGCTATGGCTGAAATATCAGGTCCTTTTTAAGGTACCAGGTTTGCCATTAGAAATACTTTTTAAAAAAACTTTTATCTGATTGTAATTGTATGTGGGGAGTGTGTATGTGTGTTGTGTGTATGTGTGTTTCAGACCTGGGTCTTGAACTTAGGAACTGGGCACTGTCCTGGAGCTTTTTTTTTTTTTTTTGCCAGTCCTGGGGCTTGAACTCAGGGCCTGGGCACTGTCTCTACCACTTAAGCCACAGTGCCACTTGTGGCTTTTTTTATTTATGTGGTTCTGAGGAGTTGAACCCAGGGCTTCGTGCACGCTAGACAAGCACTCTACCACTAAGCTTTTTTGTTAAGGCTAGTGCTCTGCCACTTGAGCCACAGGTCTACTTCTGAGTTTTTTGATGATTTTTTTGTAGATAAGAATTTAATGGGCTTTCCTGCCCAGGCTTCAAACCACAATCTTCAGATCCCAGCTTCCTGAGTAGCTAGGATTACAGGTTTGAGCCACTAGAACCTGGCTGACTATAAGTTTTATATTCTTTTTCTCTGATTTATTGCTCCTGAAATTTGTATGTTTTATAAGAGATGTTAGGTTTCAAACAAACAAATATATATATATATATTTTTTTTTGGTGGGTTGTGGGCCTTGAGCTCTGGGCCTGGGTGCTGTCCTTCAGCTCTTCAGCTCAAGGTGAGCACTCTACCACTTGAGCCACAGCACCACTTGTGGTTTTCTGATGGTTTATTGGAGATCAGAGTCTCACGGACTTTCCTGCCCAAGTTGGCTTTGAACCTCCATCCTCAGATCTCAGCCTTCTGAGTAGCTAGGATTACAGGTGTGAGCCACCAGTGCCCGGCTTCAAACAGAATATTTTAAGCAAATATTTGTATCAACAAAATGAAAGACTCAATGGTCCTTCATTTTCATAGTACACTACATTTAGACAAGAAAAACAATTTATTTATATACTGACATTTCAAAGAAAGGACCCAATTTACCTTGAACTTGTCAAAATTATGGATTAAGTATGGTGTTTTTTACCTACATCATTTCTTTTTTTCCCCCCCAGTCGTGGGGCTTGAACTCTGGGCCTGGGCGCTGTCTTTCACTCTTCAGCTCAAAGTGAGCACTCTACCGCTTGAGCCACAGCGCCACTTCCAGTTTTCTAGTGGTTTATTGGAGGTAAGAGTCTGTTGGACTTTACTGCTCAGGCTGGCTTTGAACTGTGATCCTCAGATTTCAGCCTTCTGAGTAGCTAGGATTACAGGAGTGAGCCACCAGCTCCCGACACATCATTTCTTTTCCAAATAAATTTACAAATTTTCCACTTCCATGTACAAGAAGAGTATGGAAAAAGGTTTTTTTTTCCCCATTTATTTTATTTTATTTATTTTTTGCCAGTCCTGGGGCTTGAACTCAGGGCTTGGGCACTGCCCTTGAGCTTTTTTTTTGTTGTTCAAGGCTAGCACTCTACCACTTGAGCCACAGTACTACTTCCGGCATTTTCTCTGTATGTGGTACTGAAGAATTGAGCCCAGGATTTCATGGATACTAGGCAGGCTCTAAGTCACCTTCCCAGCCCCAAAGGGTTTTTCTTGACAAGGAAAACTGAATGCTTGTTATATTTAGTATTCCCTTTTGCCATGACAATCTTATCAGTACAAGGGAAGACAGACTAAGCTACTCAGAAGGCTGAGATCTGAAGATCACAGTTCAAAGCCAACCTCCGTCAAGAAAGTCTGTGAGATTATCATCAACAAACCACCAAAACAGCTGGAATTAGAGCTGTAGCACAAGTGGTAGAGTGCTACCTTTGAGTAAAAAGAAACTCAGGGTCAGTGCCCACACCCTGAATTCAAATCCCAGGACTGGCACAAACAAGAAAAAAGAAAAGAAAATGACTTCCAAGAGTCCTATTTTTAACTTATGGATTGAACTTTCCTTGAAAGGGACATTTTAATGATAATGATAAATATTTTATAGCATATTTGTCTATTCTGTTCCAGAAGCTATTCCTAATCTAAAGTGGGTACACAATGAAGCTGCCTTTTTGGAATCATAAGATTTTTAGTGTTAAATTGTAGTTACTTTGTCACTATCAAAGTGGTATAGTAGACAATAGACTATTCTGCAAGAAGTCAGAAAACTTGGTTCCGAGCCTGTCTTTGCCCTACTAATTTTTGGTCCTGAAGAAGTTGCTTAGTCTTTCTCTATCATTTTTTCCTCATCTGTAAAATGAGACGGGTGACCTCATTTATTGAATTTCTTGGAATTCCTTTGAGAATCAAGTGAATCGTGGGGAAAAAAAAGAAAGCTTTTAAAGAAAGCATTAGACAATGCCTATGCATTCTGTGGCATTTCTAGTGGACAGGAATAATGTGTCCTCATGTTCTTTTTTTTTTTTTGGGTCCGGTCGTGGGGCCTGAACTCTGGGCCTGGGCGCTGTCCCTCAGCTCTTCAGCTCAAGGCTAGCACTCTACTGCTTGAGCCACAGCGCCACTTCAGACTTTTTTTCTTTTTGCTTATGTGGTGCTGAGGAATGGAACCCAAGGCCTCAGGCATGCAGGGCAAGCGCTCTACCACTGAGCCACCTTCCCAGCCCCCTCATGTTCTTTTATGCTAAGGAAGCAGAAGGAGGTGTATGTTTTCACGGACCCAGGAGTGTTTACCTCGTGCCCTTTTTCTCTGAACCCTGGCTTCCAAAGCAGAACGGATAGAGAAGGAAGTCCCAGTTGAATTAACCCAATCAAAAAGTCACCTTTAAGCAAGAAGGGGGAGCGCCTGTGGCCTACACCAGTCATGCTAGCTACTCAGGAGGCTGAGATCTGAGGATCACGGTTCAAATCCACCCAGGGAGAAACATCCCCATGAGACTCCAATTAACCACTCAAAAATCAGAAGTGGCGCTGTGGCTCAAAGTGGTAGAGCACTAGCTTTGGGCAAAAAGTGCTCAGGGACAGGAAATGCCCAGGCCCTGAGTTCAAACCCCATGGCCAACAAAAAAAAAAATAAAAAAGAAGAAGAAGAAGTTACATTTGAATGTGGTTTTGTGCATCTCCAAGTAGATATTTAATTGTATTTTCAGATACTTGTACATTTTCTAGGTTCATGTATTTTTTTAATAGTGCTTATAAAGAGAATATAAATTATATGTCATGACAAAAGTTTAGAAAATTTATATTGTCAACATCTTTTATATCTTTAGGCTAATTTCACTCTTCGCATGGTAACTGACAAGATGAAAAAATACCTGTCCCTCAGAATGTGAAGTGGTTTACTTTTACTGTGATGCTTTTAAATATTCTATTGCAGTCTTCTATCAGTCCAAAATGGCTTAGCCGCAAATGCTGAACACCTAACAGCAATTTAAAGTATAGCCACCTGTGCCTATTTGTGATGTTAAGTAGCTGAGATATAGTTTTGCCTTCAGTGGATACTTATAATAACGTTAATGCTGGATGAAGACTAATGTGTGAGCTGTAGGATAGGAAGTGTTCCAACATTTAGAACAGAAGTAAGAAGAAACTAGAAGAAACCAGTGGGAAGGCAGAAAAAGTTGATACTTGAATGAGTAGAAGCTAGCCTGGAACTCTAGTCTGCTAATGCCTTGGTTACCAAGTTCTGTGTGTGTGTGTGTGTGTGTGTGTGTGTGTGTGTGTGTGTGTGTGTGTGTGTGTGTGAGAGAGAGAGAGAGAGAGAGAGAGAGAGAGAGAGAGGAAAGTACATTGAGTACATTGAGGGATGTGAAAGGAAAGGGTAAATATAATAATATATAAAATTAGGCTAAATCACTTTTATATTATAGAGAAGCTATTTGTGGTAGAACAACAGTACAGTGAATGTTCACTTCAAATACGCGAGCGCTTAAACAAGATTGCCAAACATCTGTATACCATTAGCCAGGGGTTCTCATCCATGGACACATTTTAAAAGAGTTGAAAGAGTTGATCTACTTTTTTACCCATTATCATAGAAAAATGTGGATAATAATGCCAAAATAATAAGAAATATTTGCTCCAGGCAAAAACTTTTTGGCCAACTTTCTTAGAAGTCAGATATACTTGTTTTATGTTAAAATTACTCCATTGAAAATTTATTTAAAGTTTAACTGTCTTTAAATGGAAGAATTTAAAACTAAAAAATTATGTAGCTAGTTACCAAATTTTTTTTGGGGGGGGGTCCGGTCGTGGAGCCTGAACTCTGGGCCTGGGCGCTGTCCCTCAACTCTTCAGCTCAAGGCTAGCACTCTACCACTTGAGCCACAGCGCCACTTCCGGCTTTTTTCTTTTTGCTTATGTGGTGCTGAGGAATCGAACCCAGGGCCTCAGGCATGCAAGGCAAGGGCTCTACCACTGAGCCAACTTCCCAGCCCCTTGTTACCAAATATTTTGTCAATGTAATTTTTTGAAACAAGAGAAAACTGTCCCATTTATAATAAATTTGTCCCAACAGAATTTCCTCCCACTGAGCTACAAAAACACTTTCAGTCCATGCCGTGATATGACTAATAATTAATTCAATGGTAAGCTTAAACCAAAAGGTTTTTAATCACTATGCTTTGCTTTTTAAATGTGGCCTTTATATGCACCTTAGTAGTAAATAAACAAGATTTTTTTGGAAGCTTGAAAATTTAGGTTTTCAAAGGCCTTAGTTAAGTACTCCATATTTTTTTTAAGTGAAACTTTATTTTACATCATTAAAAAACGGAGGCAGGCGCTACTTGACAGGTGAAGATCAGAGAAATCAAGGTTCAAGATCAGCCTGGACCAGAAAAAGTTCACCAGACTCCATCTTAACGAATGGCTGGGCTTAGCAGTGAGGACCTGACCTGTCAGCCCAGTGCAACCAGGCTGGTCTGGACATAAAGATGGAAAATAGCCAAGGCCAAAATTGGATGGAGGAATGGCTCA